CGGCTCTCAGACGTCGCGATATACCTCCCGCCCAGGGACACGGCGAGCGCCGGGCTGCTGCGCCGACCCAGCGGCTCTGCCCGCTGACAAATCGCCCCGAGTGACGACAGGGCACGCTCCCGCCGACCCCGCCGCCCCGGTCCCGGGACGCCACGGTGGGGCGGCAGACGAGCCGCGGCCGGAGCCGCCCGGTCCCGGGACGCCACGGTGGGCCGGCAGACGAGCCGCGGCCGGAGCCGCCCGGTCCCGGGACGCCACGGTGGGCCGGCGGACGGGCCGCGGCCGGAGCCGCCCGGTCCCGCCGAAGCCCCGCCACTGGTCGGAAGCCCCTCCGAAGCCTCGCCGGGGCGGCGGCTCCCGCCCCTGGTGCCGCCAGTTGGTCGGGTACCCGGCTGCGCGCGCGATAAGTGGGAGGCATGGGTGAGTGAACGGTGCCACCGTGCGGTATCAGTACTGCTGCCCTTGTTCTTTTACTTGTCGGCAAAATGGCCGTTTGACTGTTTGCATGATGATAACACGGGTCGGTGTTGAGCGGGTACGGATCTTGATATAGGAATTGTTCTCTTACGGGGCAGATTGCAGACAGGTACTGGTCAATAAAATGCATCTACAACACGGTGCATCTAGTCGATACGTGCCAGTGACGTAATTTGAACTTGAATGCTACATTGTGTCGCCATGTAACATCTCTTGCTATTTGTATGTCTTTTCCTGATGATATCACCAACCCATTATTATATGCCGATATCACGTGATGCCGACATCGCCGCCTGTGTTGTTCTCCCGGCGCACGTTGCTTCCATGTCCAGCTGCGGTCGGCCTCTGACGCGGCCTGCTGGGGATCCACGTGCCGAACCCTGACGACTCTGCACCCAGCCCGGCCGACCCTGCCCGGCACTAATGACCCCGGCTAACAGCCCCCTGCAGTCGTTAGGAGGCGGTGGTCCGGCCCGGCACGGCTGCGAGCCCCGCGAGCTACGGCGGCCCGCCCGCCCCGCCCCGCCCGGCCCTTCCCACACCGCCACTGACGTCAGCTGAGGCAGTGGCGTGGGACGCTGGGCACCTCCTCTGATGTGAAGCGTCGACAGTGTTTGAGTCAGCTGTTTCCATGCGTTACCATCAGGGTCACCGCGCTCACCTACATGTATATATATATATATATATATATATATATATATATATATATATATATATATATATCACATTCGCAAATTTATAGAGCAGGGTTTCTTGCATGACATTTCGTGGAAAATGGCAGCATATTTGACGTTGACTCGTTTTGTAGATGATGATCTAATCTCCCGAATCAATCATATGCCATCATCGTTGAATTAGCAAGAAGGGTACCATTATTATTTTGTAATGTTTGATTGGTCCTGAAAACATCATCAGACAACAAATACACAACTACACCTAACATTTATTTAATAACAACTACACAGACATTTATGAAAACGTTCGTGCTTGCGTCGGTTCAAAATCACATTGTAGCATTTCTCTTACACAAAATTGGTCATCTGGTTTTATGAAAAAGCTGTTATGCACAGTACTAGAGAACGCCTCGCATAATGGACGAACACTGGTTACGTCCTTTACCCGCTTTTTTTGCCACCGGCCAATTTCTAGATGCCAGAGGCTGCCCATCCCACGACCTGTATGGCCTGCATATCCATCTCCTGGCTGATTGCCGAACACATATGCCGGATATAAACAGCTTCCAGCACGTCCAGTTCCACTTTGTGTGCGCTTTTAGGCAGTATGGAGGCATTTTCCAGCAATTCACATCGAGGTAGTGTCCTTCCATGAGCCATAGGCTCGCACTCGTACCCGGACGGCAAGCACGCAGACAAGTACGGCTCGTACTCGTACCCGAGCGGCAGCTCGTTTTGTAGTTGTCAAGAGAAATGCAAAAATAATATTTTTAACCGACACGACCACGAACATTTTGTTTATTATTGTTAAGTGTAATTGTGCCTATGTTGTCTGATGATGTTGGCGACACTAATGAAACATTTCAAAATAATACCGGGACCATTCTGAATAATTTTTTCGATAATGAGAAACCTCATATATATATATATATATATATATAGTTATATATATATATATATATATATATATATATATATACGTTGTTAAGACACAACTGTTTCCATCCCTTCCGAAGGTAAGTGGCGTCCACGCCCCACGGCCCTTAGGGGTAGTAACGCTCATGGCTACCATGAAGCGTTAACGTTGAACTTCCGCGGCCAGGCAGCCAATGAATACCTGCCTCCCACCGAACAGTGGAGGCCCTCATTCTCCCGGTCTCCCGTCTCCGCGCACCCACGTCGATCTCACGTGTCACGTCCGTACCCTGGCAGGCAAGTACGGCTCGTACTCGTACCCGGACGGCAGCTCGTTCGTCGGCGAGTGGAATGACAAGGGCCAGCGCCACGGCCTCGGCCACATGAGCTTGACCGACGGCGCCGTCTACGACGGCGGCTTCAGCAACGGCTTCTTCAACGGGCTCGGCGTCATCGTGTTCTCAGACGGAGCCAAGTGAGCGACGGCGGAACCGGCGGAGCCCAACTGTCGGCCAACTGATTTAAAATAGTTAGCCGCGTGGAGTGTCCACTTTTGGAAGTTCGCTGGGCGCCGGTCGATGTCGGCTGCCGGCTGTCGCGGCGCTGCTGGTCACCTCGGCTCTGGCGGAGGTGGGAACGGTGCAGGCGGGAGCGCGCGCGGCAGCTGAGCGCTCACGGCTGGAACATGGCATCTCTCGTCGGCATGGGCTCGAAGCGGCCACACAGTCGGCACGCCCCTTAACACCAAACGTCGTTTTCTCGTTGGCTAGCCAGCGGGAGGCCGTCTACTCATGCCGACTTCCAGGGTCCAGCAAAAGAGGCCAATGTACAACTAGAATAAATGGTTTGGGATTGACATTTGAGTTCCTACTATCGGTAACGTAGGCGTCAGGAATCGTCCAGAGATTCCACGGGACTTAAAGTTTTACACACTTTATGTGATGGTCTACAATGACGAATCGCGTACGAAGTGCCTCTTATTCACTGATGAAACTCTAAGCAGTTTTACTCGCATTTCACCGTCTAGCTCACGCTGTGCCGCACTACACTACTGTACGGCGGGGAGGCACCCGCCACTATATCGGTGTGGTATGGTGCACGCGTACATGTATGGGTAGAGTTTGGGTCTCTGGCAAGCGCTTGACCCTCCATTGGCTCTCTCGGCCTTGCAATGCCTGACCAACGTCAGCACAATTATCGCCAAAGTTGTACGTGCAAAAAGCTGTGTTGTAGAGAGTCTAAATAATGGCCTGCTTATGCATAGTTTGCACCAAGCACTCATCATAATATCACAAGCTCACGGATGTCATTTTTTTTGAAATCGGTTGTGGGCCTGAGCGAATAAAGTTGACCTGGTCTACCCCGAAATCCCTTTTTGAAAAGCGCAGCCACTTATATTGCGTCCCGATGTCAATATTTAGTTGATTTTTTAATGCTTATGTACGGCTTCCCACGCGAAGCCGAATTAAAGTTGCATTTTTGCAAAAAGCTTAGAATAAGGTGTGCTTAAAAAGACAGAAAACCTCAACAAATCGACCGGCTGTGATAAGCGAAAACAGGCGCCGTTTTCCCTTTACCATTGGCGGCCCCAGGCGCAAAATGATCGCTTTATGTGGAACGGCACGACCTGACACGTATAGGCGAAATGCTATATACATGTAACTCACATCCACTTCCGGTATGTACCTACATACAAATGCAACTGAACTGATGACCTTTTTAACGGGACCGCAAATAGATGGAAGGAAGTTATAAAGGCTAGTGACAGCACAGTCACCAGTGGCCGTTTGAAGAAGCGCGACCCACGCTTTGACATGTGTTGGAAGCTGCAGCTATAAGCGTGGCTGTAAGCAAGAAAGGCCTTGATCTGCTGGTGTGCCGACGCTGTGGGTAAGGAGATTCATGTTAATATTAATGATCTTTGTTATACCAGGAGATTGCGCCTATACCACGATGTCAATAGAGCACTCGTGATTTTGAGAAATCCCACCGTTTGGAGGTTGTGCTCATGGTTAGATTCCATGGCAAAATTCCTCCCCCAATATTTCCTTCATTCTGGAGCGCAGCACAGAAAATGTTTTGTTCCATTCCTCGACAACATTCTTTTGCGGCACAACGAGTTGGAAGATTCACCACCGTGCTGTACTTTAAACCGTCCCGTCCCGAAACGTACCGCAGCCCGCCCCGACAGGTCAGTTGGATGGTGCGCCTGCCTTCTGAGTCACCCACCAGCGGCGGGTGGAATCGAGTCGCTTCAGACGTCCGATAATTATCTCTGACCGAGATAACCTACGGCCGGTGGCAGCGACCGCACTGACGTCATTTGACGTCAGAGAGTGTAGCGGGCCGCGCCGAGCATCGCGGCACGTTAAGTTTTCGGCGCAAAGTTCCGCCGTTGATCCGGAATGCTACGATCAGATGGCGGAGTCAGGACTAATGCCACATGCAGTGTGTGGCGTCAGCGCTCACCCCAGACAGGCATTAAATCAAGGAGTTCAGGCTCAATCTTGAGCAGTGATGGTCGACCCCACCGCAACGTATTACAAATCGGCACTCACCGAGGCTACCAAGAAAACAGTCCTCACACTACAAATGTGGATAACTGTGTGTGTATGTGATGATCCCCAGTGAAGTGGACGTTATGCTTTTAAACTATCCCTTCTTTTCCGTGCGAACTGATGCTCGGACTCCTGCGCGAGGTCTTCCGATGGTGCGTCAAAATTAAGGCTTACCAGTACAACAGTATCAGGTTTGCAGATAAGTCACAGAAAAGCGAAGCAAACAGGCTATCTCCATGCGCAACCGTCGTTTATGCAGAACGGCCCAAATAAATGTTAATCCATGTTTTATTCAACAGAGACAGGTGTATTTCCCACACAGTCAAGACTGCAGGACGTTCGAATGACCATTGGATGCAAAAATGAAAAAAAAACATGATAAGAAACGGTAGCAGTCACATAAAGAACCAAGTCCACTTGTACAAGTCAACGACCTTCAAGAGCCCAAGCGCCCTTCAAGAGCCTTCAGACTTGAGATGGGACACATCACCGTCCGTAGGACTGACAGGAGACCCGGCCACCAGCAGCAGGCTCGGCTGTTGCGAATCCTGGGCGTCAGGGGGCCGCCAGGCGCAGTTTTTTGTGGTCACTGTTAACGGATGTGGAATCCCGGACTACCTATGTCACTGTTCGTGTTTTGCGTTTGAATTGGCCGTCATATACCACCGCTGTCACGACTGTGCGACAGATACACTTGTGGTTGCGGTGGAAAATGTTAGAAATTTTTATCTCAATGTATTCAGATTGAATCTCAGTGTATTGTGTCTCTTAAAACTGAGGTGCCTAGTTTTATCTGACGCCACCCAATACTTTAAAAACCACCAAATTTTGCAGGCAAGCCTTTTTGGGTTCTTTAACACCATCCTGCCATCCTGACAACCATACAATGATATATCATGGTAAGCCTTTCAACTTTTGCAGACTGGCCGAACACATGGGTAGCTTGCATTATAAAAAAACACCAGGATACTTAAAACGCTGCGTACCTACAGGGCATTATTTGATTCAAAATGGGGGTGACACCAACATTGATGCTTTTAGGTACTTAGTGCACCAGCAGCTTAGAAAAATGCATCGCACTTCATTAGGTCAGAGCTCCATTTTTCTCATTTTTTTGGGGTGGGTGGGTCGGAGAGCATTAAAAGGGTTCGAGTAAACATTAGAGGGGGGAGGGGGCTCGGACACCGGAAGTACATTAAATGACGCCCCTGCGCAGGTGCGCGAGTCATGTGCGAGCAAAAAAGGCAAGAAGTTTTGCAATAAGTCGCCATTTGAGTGAGCAGCCTGACGCAAATATTCACTAAACACTAGAAGAAGTCAAAATCGACATAGCAAATCAGTGGAGCTAATCCACAAGCCAGCATATTGAAAGAACTGAAACGATGGACCACATCATTCGTCAGCCAGCATGGCGACGCAAGGTTTGCAAAGCGAAGCTTATCATTTCATGATCCCGCGTGTCATTGATCACCGATCATTTCATTGCGTGGCATGTGAGCAGCGCAATATTCCTTACCATGAACAACATTTTGTCAACGCAGCCGAGCGTTTGGGCTGCCGTTTTATGGCGACAGCTTGTGATTCATAAAACGAAAATGCTTTGAGAAGGGAGTTAAGATGGCTTTACAAAGATGGTATACAAGATGTTTGTTAAGTCAGTTGTCCTTTTATGCATTTCCGGCGATAGACCTAAAATTCGAGCCAAGAGCCAAAAATTCGAATCGTTGGAATTTTTTACTCTGTGACCAGGGTCCGTGACCGAAAATTCATGCAAAACGCAACTTAGTTAACGAATATCGCGTATACGATCATTGCAAGGAGGCCATCTGAATATTCTTTTTCATACTTGCCATGCTTCACATTTCACAAGCACCGTACCATCTTGAACGATAATGTTTGCGAGATAATAAGAGAGCAGATTGGTTGGATACTCGGATCAGCTGATCAGACAGTGCACGAACAGTGCTGCACGGCAGTACCGTCCTCTGGAGGCGCTCGCGGCACATAGGGGTGTACATAGGGGGTGTAGCGATAGGGGTGTAGTTACTTCTCAGTGGAGTGGAAGGGGCTCCAGCCCTCCATCTTTGGTTCTGATCCTCACCCCCAATTTGAGAAAAAAAGTGGGTCTAATCGGGGAGAGACCCGCTCGTCGGCGAGTTTTGGGGGCATGTTTCATGATATTTCACCGTTTGGCTCGTCCAACTCACTTTGTAAACTTCGTCGAAAAACAAACACCTTGATTTGTTTTATTAAGAGACGTAGGGTGACTAAGCCCCTGAATCGGCAGCGTTTCCTTGCTGTTCTTAGAAAATGCATTTCTAAAAGGAGATATCCGCCTTATAAAAGTAGCGTAAAACGGCATGACACGACTTACAGATTCGACAGACCAACATGAATACGGCGTTTACCTACCTCGGTGCTGACGATGCCTGCGACTAACCTGGAGTTTCGAATGTCGACAGGTACGAGGGCGAGTTCGCGCAGGGCTGGTTTCACGGGCACGGCATATTCTGGCGCGCCGACGGCATGCGGTATGAGGGCGAGTTCCGCGGCGGCCGCGTCTGGGGCCACGGTGAGTCCCAAGTCACGGAAGGGACGCAGCGAGCTCCAATTCACGAGGAAGCTTAACTTAAAGGCAAGGACCACGGTGAGTTCTGACGAACAGAAACAATTCAAGATGGACCAGAGCCGGCCATGTCTCACGGGATGGGCGTAGTGGGCTTTGACTCATGGAAAAACATTTCTGAGGAAGATGTGCCTCGTGAGTTCCGACTCACAAGAAGACTGGGGCCAGGGTGAGTTCTAACTCACGAGAATACGTTAGGAGGAGGTAAGGACAACGTTGAGTTCTGACTCGTGGGAAAGCGATAAGAGATAGCGAGACCACAGTGAGTCCTGGTTCGCGAGAAAGCCTTAAAAGCGAACTGGGGTTCTGACCCGGGCAGACGCTACGAATCGGGCCGAAAGCGCAGGTCTGCTTGTAATTCGTAAGAGTCATGCTCGATAATTTTTCTTTAATTTAGCCAGCTATCGCAATTTTAACGCGGATGCCGCTGTTCGATGAAGTTTATCATTGTTCTGCCGCAATATTTTGTTTTTGTAATGATGGAGCTGCGAATCACTGGCAGCGTCATTGACCATGCCGTCATGCGTAGGAACTGGCTTTGGTTCGTGTATCGTCCTAATTCAGAAAACATCATAATTCAAGGTAAGGTTGTCCGCAGCCGGCCGGCTTTTTGGATCAGTGATTAGCCGGCCAGCCGATTTTGTGACCGGAGGATGGCTAATGACTAATGCGGAATCTCAGCATTGGTTTTGATTTCGGGTATACCGTCAAAGATGTCTACAAATTTTGTGATGAACTCAGCTTTAATCTGCATCAGAATCGCAAAAACAGAATCGATTTCCAATGACCTCAGTAAATTTTCCCGAAGTCTTCCAGACCGTGGTAAATTTCTCAGCGCTTTACCAGACAGTGTAGTGGTCAGATGGTTGGTTGTGCAGCGTCTTGCTCCCTAGTAAAGTTAGTGAATCTTGGAAAAATGACCATCAGAAATCATACCGACTTCTTGCAAAAATAAGTAATGTGTTGCTTGATATCTTCTTTGCTGCTTTCCAATAAATTAACATTTTTTCCTCGTTATACTAAGCCAATTTCTGATATAATTCCACTGAACGCTTACGGTTCGAATTAAGCGCAATATTTTATGTACGATTACAAAAAAAAAACGAAAAAGGGAACAGTCATACTACATTTAACGTCTATAAGAATTTGAAAGCGTAGCCGAATATTTCACGGAGTTGATCTGTGCATCCGAAATCCGCGGTTGAAACGCATTTCTTTTCTAACAGCTCCCCAGCCTCCGTCCGGCCGGCTGACCGTTCGATCGGCGGCTGGCTGGAAGCCAACTCGCTCGATGTTTTCCCAACCGCATGACAGCCGTTTGTTCAATCTCAATGTCTTGTGATGTATACATTAGCATGGTGGTTTGAGATATTAATATAGCTCAGATTATAGGGCAAAAATTGTCACTGAACTGCAGTCGGATGCTTTGTGTCTGCCGAAGTGTGTAGATACAAGACCCGGTTGTTTCCCACCAGGTTTGATGACGTACAGTGACGGATCTCACGGCTTCCCGCGACAAGAGGGCTTCTTCCAGGACAGCAAGTTTATCCAGAAAAAGCGGTCCACCACGGCTGTCTCGCGCGCTCAGAAGGTGGCCCTTCTCGCCAGACGACAGTGCGAGTGAGGGCTCACCGAAGCTCGATGGAGAGCATCTCTGCAAGTGACTTTCCCCGGTGACTAAAGGGGAAGGTTGCGGCTCTCCTGTTTGCTGAGTCGCCAGTTGCCTGAATGGACATGTCGTGGAAAGCAAGTTCGCTTACGGGAGGCACAGCTATATATTCTCACTCGCGACTCGTGCTATATATCTCAACCGCGCTTTGTGCATTGTTAAAGCTTTGTTCTGTACATAAGAGCCTGTTAAAACGGGCTGCGACGCATTCCAGGTTGCCATGGGAGTGCTGCTTGTTTGCAGCATTTCCTTAACTACAGGCTATTCCTCTCGATCTGCCATCGATTGTCCTATGTCTCATTACACTCACACAGCCGACGCGGACAGTGCATTTATATGCAAGGAGCAAACCAATAAAAGTCAAGACTTCAACACGTCGGCGATCTACAACGGCGGGTGAATAACAGGATGCACAGCAAGCATACTAGCAGGGAAGCGAGCCCACGGATAACGATATCGATAAATGCTTATCCTGCGGTGCAGTGTATGTACAACTCGATAGTAGATTGCTGAATCAGGCTGTTCCTAGCGTGTCAGGAGTCTTCTTGTCGCCATCCTGTCGCCTTGCTACGTCGCAGGTTATCTTGTGTTGCACAACATCCTTCTCTCCCGTTCCGCCCCTCCTTTTCCTGCCACTTATTCCGCGAAAGAGGCGTGACGCAGCCGCCGGCGTATTTAGCATTTGTGATAGTACATCAGCCAACTGAGAACCCATAAATAAAAGACAAGCTCAGCGACTGAATGAAAGGTGCTGTCTTACGTGCGAGCCTGCCGTGTCTGACGCTGCAAAAGGAGGGTTAAACTTACCTTATGTCAAAAGCAGGAGGGTCACCGCGAGCTCTTGGAGAGTGGACAGGCCAGTTTGCGTGGTGGCCTGAACCACCATTTGGGCCTCCTCAGACTGAAGGGGCCTCCCGATGCCTCACGGATTGGTTATGCCTGCAGGTGCTTCGAAACGCAACGATTAATAATGCTGACAGGTATTTCCTAGAGCTCTCGACGAAGACGACGTCAGTTGCGTTTTATATGTGCACAATCATGTATTGCTCTTACAAGACTCAGATACATCTTGGATAAAACAATCGTTTTCTAAATCGTGGTCGGACCGAATCGGACACTTGTCAGATCCTACCAGATCCGCACAATACCAGCACTCATATTGTTCCAAAACATGAAACAATCGGCACGTTTTGACGCACTGCTGATATTTCTTTAACTGGGACCTCCGTCTGCTCGCGATCACGGAAGAGCCTCAGTCACGGTAATGGCGGCCCTAGCCAAGAAATGCACATAGATTCTAAGCATTGCATTTGAATTTTTAGTACAAAGAGGGCCTCCACGCTTTACCGCGTCGTGACCATTTCCGTCGTGGTGATAACCATCTATCGCATCAAGGACCTGACGCAGTGAAAATGCCTGCAGCATGGCGTGTAGGGCCTTTTATCAATTATGATGGCGATCTCGCTCCGTCTGACTTCGATTTCCATTAAACAAGATCCTGGCATAATTGGGACCCCCTCCCGCTCAAAACCAGCATCCCTTTGAAAAAGGGGGGCTTCCTCTAGCCGTAAGCCAACTTATCCAACTTATCTGAATGACAAAGCCGCCAACTGCGCTGGTATGGGGCTACCTCCCGGTCATGGCATGGATCTCCTGTCGTGCCTCGTCTCAAATTTCAAAGCCACCTAAGATCGTTTCCTTAAACGGACCATCTCTCATTCCTAGTGGGGGAGGGGGGAGGGGCTTGTCCAGAGCCATCACTCCCGACCAAAGCGATACTCGATATCCGGGACCCGCTCTGGATCATCGCGACATTCTGAAGTTAGTAGAAATGGTAGAACAGTAGGGACAGTTGAGGCAAAGTACAGGGCGATTAAAATGCTATAATACTGCACATAGGGAAATATCGCACGACCGAGTTCAACATCTTTGGGGGTAATGAGCGTAGTTCCATTCATTCTTTGCGTGTAGTGTAGTTCCCAAAGTCTATGAAGCAGAAGCTGCGAAGATTTCGCATGAAGCTTGTTGCTTAATAATAATGGCAATTCTTGACAATCCGCAAGGCTAGCATACAAAACGCAAGACATGCACGCCGTACGCTAAAATTTGTAAAGCCACGCTCACCATTGTGTTACTGTAGATTGCTTAATTTAAAGGCCAAAACAAAGACCTCGGCTAGCGATGCGTGCCGTAACGCGCCTCAGGACTGACTCAACCGCCTCTTCCGGGATCGAAGCGGCTAATCTCGCTTCAGCACTGACTCGACCGCCTCCCCCGGGATCGAAGCGGCCGCTCTCGCTTCAGCATTGACTCGACCGCCTCCCCCGGGATCGAAGCGGCTGCTCTTGCTCTTGCGGCTTTTATCACCAGTAGCGTCGACCTTTTTCAGACCTGCGTGCCGTCTGCACGCTCCATCGATTATCAGATTGCTCCTCACATGCTTTCTTATTTCCCCATTTTTCAAGGCGCGGCTACAGCTGCCACATGCACCCCAAATCTGCATCACACATTTGTGGACACCGTCTCATTGTGTTATGGCAACGGGCGTAATGAACTCAATGAAGTGAACGTCAGTAAACGCCCGAAGTTTTCAAATGCATCACCACGATCGAACAGCAATCTATGGCTTGCCGATAATCCCCTAGAAAATTTGCTGGAGCTTCACGTAAGCTGATTATTTTGATGTTTTGGTGTGGCTTTCTTGCTTAAGATACTGACCTACGTAATGCATTGGCGTAGCTCTCTCGCTTGAGACACTGACCTACGCACCGTTTTGATGTAGCTCTCTTGCTGGAGGCATTGACCTCCGTAGCCGTTCGTCGATAACAGACGTCTCGCGAGGAATTTCAACAATGTCGGCTTTGAAAGGTCTACCCATTGCACTTAGGTAGATGGCGAACAGATATTACTATCGTTGAAAAGATAATGTTCCGTACTTTCTCAACAACATGTTTGCTTCATTGTCCTGAGGCTACTCAGCCGTACATGATTTGACATGCAAATTAGTGTCAACGTTTTCTTCATCACCTTGTACCATGCTGTCATCAGCCACCACGATCACAACATGTGCTCGCACACATTCACATCACAGATGCAGCCACATCTCATCAGCTGGACCTCCAGCATGACGCGCCGCATCCACGTCCACCCCAGTCACGTGAGTCCGCGCCCGCCGCCGGCAGTGGCTGTAGTCGACCCGTCGTCCGCAGAGTGGCATCACGAATGCATGACCCACTGCGTCGCGAGCCCGCTGCGCCCTGGGGAGGGCCGGCTCGCTCCGCAGCTGAAGCACTGTTCGGCCACGATAGGCCCCAGGGGCGCAGGACAGTGTAGGCAGCACGTGACGCCGAAACCAATCATGTTCCGCGGGCGCGGAAGAGTAATGCCACCCGCGAGGATAACGGGTTCGGCGACGACCGCGCCGGAACCTTTTAGCGTCATTCGCCCGGAATCGGTCGGCTCTGGTTTCTGTTTATCTTGGATGAGGTTGTTAGAATGCGGAGAGGCCGCAGGGCCTGGAGGTTTCGGCGTGACCGAGGCAAACGGTGAAGTCTGAATCGGGAATCAGGGTCTGGCTTTGTCCAAATCGCGACCCGCCTGGGCGGATGTTGGTGAAATTTTTCCCGGAAAGGTCCGGAAGACATACCTTGCTCTGTCAGAGGCCTCTCACCCTCAAAGTTTTGTCTTGCGCCATAACCGGACGCAAAGATTATTCATTGCTTGAAAAGTCGGACCTGTCTTACTGCGAATTTTTCGGCTTGTTGCCTTACTACGAATGTTGGTGCATGACATGGCGCTCGGCTGGAGATCAATGAAATTAAGCCTCAGTAGAGCCGACCTACTTGCTGTTGGAATTGTGCATGCTGGTAGATGAGTGAAAATCAGAAGACGAGTTGGAAGCACTAGTTTTCGGCGTTCGCCTTCTTCATGTGGGTAAAGAGAGGATAGAGAAGAAGGGGAAAGACCATTCTGCTAATCTTCGCTCATCTTCCAGACTGTATGTCTTCAACAGTGAACAGGTCAGTTCTACAGGGCTTACAGTCATTTATCCACCACTCTCTGACAACGGTACACTGCGGCACAGCTCACAGGAGACAAGTTCGGTAGGAAGTGGTTTCTTGCGTACCTGTGGCTCGCCTGAATGTTTCCACTTGTTGCTGTCGATCAATACAAAACGAACACGTAAGTTGTTCTTTTTTCTACAGGCAGCTCAGCATTCTAACCACCAGACCACGAAGAACTATCGTAATAAGCGTTGCGGAAGCGCTACTGTTCGTGGCGGATAACTTTGATCTCGTGGAAAGTTAGAAGACTACACTCATCGGCGAAACGCAAGCGATGGAAAAAAACCTGGACCGCGCTTACGGCCTCCGAAAATGCACCGCACCCCGAGCACTCGTGCTTTATCATAAATCATTCATATGTTATCAAATGTGTTTAATGTGGCAAATGACAGCGGGCAATCCAGCCAAGTACAGCGGATGGAGATGTGTAGGTGCAAACTTCAGGTAGCTCTAGTACCGAAGTCTCCGATACGTCTTTTACATAACCTTGATTATCCTGCCTGCCTGTTCAGTCTTCTCACAATCGGTTCATGGAGTTCAATACTGGATCTGTCATAGGCGTCTGGCCTAGTCCGGCCTGTCAGGTAAAGAATGAAGGTCAACAACTTTTATATAACGTCAGGGTTCCTTGCAACTAAAGAAGGCAGGCAGTGAGTACTTGGGTGGCAATTTCGCACGGCCGGTTTGGCAGCAAATCTAGAGTCTTACAAGTGCTCCATGACACCATCAAACAATAAGGTATTGAATAGCATATTCAGTAAATGCAATTTTTATATCTGGAGTAGTCTTTTTTCTTCGATGTATTCCAGTAGTTTTAAGTGAGCTTTTTCATCACATCTTATGCTTGGCCTCTATATCTTCATATATGGAACATTTCCTTCAAACCCCTGCTGTCCTTTCTCTTGCATGACCTCATCCTGCGGTGCATCAATGCGTCGGAATCATTGCAGCGCAATTGTGCAAGAGGCCGAAGAGAAGCCGAAATGTCTTCACCACAGCCTTAAGTGATCTCGTGGGAAAAACATCGCGTGAGCTGGGCGCAAAGCACGTACATCTCCACACTGACGCCCAATATTGGCTGTTTTTGGTGTTGGGTGATGGTTTGTTACAATGTACGATATACGATGTACGATTACAATGTACCCCGTACGATGGCTCCAAATGTGATTGTCGACGAGTCTCATGGGCTTAATTCAATGGGGCGGGTTAGCAGGCGTCGAAGGCGACCGGGTTGAGCTAATCCTTGACACAACTCAACGCAGAGCACAGTTATTATTTTGTTAGTTAGACCGCAGACCACAGAATATCCACAGTTTAGCCATACTAATGGATTTCAGAATGTTCCAACTGTGTACAAAAATACAATACAATGTTTGCGAAGGAAGAAAATTCCTTTAGGTACCTAAAAACCAATTTTCATCGATAAAAATGGCACATGCCTCAAAACTCGTCGAGGTTCGCTGGTATAGTAAACAGTGTATGT